ACACTGTAGTCCTCGCGGCACACCGCCCCCCCGTTACTTCTCTCCGCGTTAACCAAATTAACTCCTCTCATTCGAATTATTCCTTACACGCTGCAACAATCGTTGTTAAATACGTGACGCACTAAACAATTAACCCAGTCTGCGTTAGTGGAGCCGTTTCAAATTAATATTTGGGATATCAGTGTGTGTGTGTACACGTGTTCCACGTGTGTGTATACACGTGTTACGTGTGTATGCGCGTGTACACACGTGTTCAACGTGACGCAGGAAGGGTTCATTGCTAAGCGCGTTACGCCCGATGTGTTCAGTAATCATCGGGCGCGTGCAGCGAGCTACTTTGCATTTTACTGAGTTGACATTTGTAAACGGGGGAAGACGGGTCGTGGTGTGTTGCGAGAACTGGGGTGTGGGAAACACGTGTGTGTGTGTATGTGTATATGCAATACCAACTACAAGTTATATATATACGCGCATATATACATTCATACACATACATATGCATGTGTATGTTTGTATGTATATGTGTGTGTATGTAGTGCAGCGGTTAACGGGCCGCGCAACTAAACCGGCGACCCGAGTTCGATTCCCGCTCACGGCCACCGACTCCAGTGATGCTTATTATCTGAACGGGTCATGGTCCTCCTCTAGGTAGACTCGGCCTCAAATTAGTACACTACTTGGTGCGATGTGTGTGAACATCGCTAGTCGGGAGACAAAGGCGACCGGGGCTGGTGCTAATCACCCACTCCCTCGTGTGCTGTGCCGGCCGGCCTTACAAATGTACGGGGGAATGTTTAGTTTGTCTCTGTATAATATAGCTTAGGTGAAAGTGTGGTCAACCTATTATCCAGCAGTGGATTGATTGTATAATTCTATTTCGATTTAAGGAAGGCTACTTGTGTTGTGGCCGAAACGTCGTGAGAATTTTATTCTGTTATTATTTCATTCCCATTCTACGTGACTTTACCGAAAGAACCCAGAAGATGTATAATTCTACGTAAGGATTATCGCGGTGAGATTTCTCCCGGTATTCCGATTTCACTACACACGCTAAATTATTTAATTGGTCAATAATAATGATTTTGAATCAGTAAAAAAGCTTTTCTGTGCAAAACAATATTAATTTTATTTTTAAAATATATTTCCTGGGAATTAAAAAAATTTGATATTGCCATTTATCATAATCGTGACTATAGCCGCAACACACATACACCTGATTAGCGTACATCACTGCACAGGCCGATCCATTTACAGATATCCCACCGACTGCTAATGGACCTCTTTCTACTCGACAGGTGATTGCATATTTCTAAAGGATGGCTCCACATTTTACAGAGGCTTTCGTTAATACGTTGCATTGAGATTGTTGGGAGACTTGGAGGGGCTTTGTAAGAGAAAACGCCGTCTTATCCATTCTCCCTCTCCGTTATTTCAGCGGGGTATCTATAAAGGGCTCACATCCGGTGTGCGTGCATGCACCTGTGTGCGCGCGCGTGTATACACACACACATACATACACACCTACATACACACATACACACACACCTACAGCGCCTGCGTGCGGCATCTACACGTGCGTAAACGCATGCGCACGGGGCTTAATGTCACGTGGAGCTGTTCGGGGCTGAGCTCGGGTAAACGACTCCCCTCCCCCACCGCTGTCGCTGTCTGGGGGGGGGGGGTTAAGGCGGTGGGGGGCGGGAATTAAATCCTGCGTGCACACACACACACACCCATTATTATAATATATAGAAACTGAAGCTTTTTGCGGAGAGGGAAGGAGATATGGAAGGTGAAGAAGGGTGCGTCTGACGGGCACTCAGACGCGTAAGCCACGCGTCTCCATGGGGAGCGCGTGTGTAGGCTTCAATGCGTGGAGGGAGGGGCACAGAATATACACGGCGTGGAACTTGCATGCCGTCGGAATTGTAATGTTCAGATGTCGATCAGAGAGCAAGGGCGTTCCATATAGTGGTATCGTTGTTGTGTGCGTGTGTGAGGCGTGTGTGGGGAGCGGTAGTGTGGTGGTTAGCGCTACGCTGCGCTACGAACCCGGCGACCCGTGTTCGGTTCCTGCTCACGGCCAATACCCGGTGACGATTGTCTGAACCGGTCGTGGGCCTCCCCTAGGTCGACTCGGCCTCAAATTAGTACCTGGAGCGGGGTGTGAACATCGCCACTAGGGAGACAAAGGCGGCCGGGCGTGGTGCTGGTGACTCGCCTCCTCGTGTACCGTGTCGGCCTTCAAAAGTGCTCGCTAATAGCACTTTCCCCAACAGTCTGTTACAGGCTACACGGGGGATCTTTGTCTTTGTGGGCAGCGGTCGTGAAGTGAGCTCACGGCCAACACCGGTGACGATTATCTGAACCGGTCGTGGGCCTCTCCTAGGTCGACTCAGCCTCAAATGAGCACCTGGATGGCGATATTTACACCCCCCCACACACCATCCCGGTTTTCATCGGCGTTCGCTCACCGCACTTGCCCTAACAGTCTGTGCAAGGCTACACGGGGGGGGGGGGGCCTTTGTCTTTGTATACACGTATGTATATACACTTACTGGTAGTGTGTACACAGTGGATATTCATTATAAAGTGTATATAAATAGTATACATTGTACACGTGTATATGCTTATATATTTTATTTAAATGTGTAAGCATATATATACGTGTGTATAGCGTTTAAAAATCTGCTGTCAGTATGTGTACGCATGTAAGCACCGCACGTGGTATGCATGCACACATATATATGCATACACAGATATGCATATATATGAGTAAAACCATAAATGAGATTCCGTTGTGTGGTTTATGGGTATGCATAGTTACGTATGTTTTTATACACACACATATATATCCATGCGTGTTTGTCTTTGTAGTGCAACGCAGTTAACTCCTGTCTAATACACACGTTTCGTTTGTTCGCAATTGTATATGGTGATACATCATAACGTTACCATTAAACACAATATATTTTTTTTCAAATTGCTCCCGAAGATAGTTAAATATAGTAAAAAAAAACGATTGACGATTTCAGTTAAGGTGCATACAAATTATAATAGTCACGCTCGTTTAACAGTACAATTTAAATATTTGAGTGAATCATCGCCAGGGTTATGTATGGTCATTCACTGTGCGCTGTTGTGAACTATGGTACTGCATCGATGAACACACATACATATATATATGGAACACCCTTGCTACCATCATCATTACTATTATTATTTTGTAGAAGCACTTATTATTTCGTTTGTGTGGTTTTTTTTTACGCGAACACTCCTTTAAACAGCTTTGCTGCACACCGTAAATTACAGAGAGAGAGAGAGAAATAACGACAAAAATCATGAACGAATCCCAATAAAAGCTTCAAATCTAGAAAAGACAAGGTGTATGTATACTTTTGTTTTAACGAAACGTGCCGTTTCGGCCCCGAATGTACATCTCTCTACTCTCTCTCTCTAAAATAAACTCGCGTAATAGAGCAATAATACACTTGTGTATAGCCGGTATCATGTAAAGCCAAAACAAATGCAAGACCCACAAGGCCATACACCCCCCTTCTTACCGGCACCCCAATGCCACCACGCACCACACTTCTGGCTCCCTTAACCCCACGTGAATCACTGGGGGTCCCCACTGCCACCCCGGTACGCCCCCTCCCCCTTCCCTCCCCCGATTTGTTGGAGCGAACCCCTCCTGTACCCCGATTAGCAATGCCCTCTCGCCCATTCAAATGCGGCCGCGTAAGCCCCATCTATTGTTCACGTGTGATCGGCGAGTGGAAAGGGAGGTTATGGGGGAGAACGAATGGGGGGGAGGCGAGGAAGGATCGGGCTGGGGGGGGGGGGGTCATACACATCTTAAACGCGCCACCGAGAAAAAAATATAACCTATAAAACAACAACAAACGACGATAACAACAACGATAGCGATTCTTACTCTCAGTTCTCCACTTTTCTCAATCCGACAAAGGCAAGTTATATTTATAACCCCCCCCCCCCCGCCTATCCCGCCACCGGCCCACGTGTTTAGAGTCCCAGGGCTTAAACTGGACTTTTACAAAAAAATAAAAAGGAAAAAAAAAGTGAAAATTACAAATGTCTCATTTTTTTCTTTAAAAAAAGACCGCCTCCCTCCCTCCCTCCCCACCCCCACCCACCCACCCACAAGTTGAAACTTCTCTAGAACAGACGCCCCGGTTTGTTTTTCTTTCCCCACAACAAATCGATTGCACTTTGCCTCTCAAATTATTATTTTTTTCAGTTTTTTTCTCGATTTTTGTTTGTTGTTGCTCGCTGATGTTGGCTGGAGAATTAGTTGCTCGCTGCTGTTGCCGTGGAAAAAAAAAACAGCTATTTTATTCTGTAAATCGTAAGTAAAGGTTGTAATTGACGGGGTCTTTTTTTATTTTTGATTCACTGTTTAACTGGGTTGAATAAATACGGTTAACTATTGTTAAGCCATAGTTATTTTGTTTTGCCCCATAGATTCCGGGTTTTTCTGGTCACCAAAGTCATCAATCATCGCTATTATTTTTGAATGTATTTAAAAAAACATTTTTTTTACGATCTCACATGTGTGTGTGTGTAGGGGGTGGGAAGGAATATTGCATACGTTGAAGCGATGCAACGATGTAAAACTGATCTACTACCACTATCTTAAGTATCGCGTCTATGATGTACTCCAGTAAAAGAATGCCCATTCACGTGCGGAAAAGTCTATTTGCATTAAAACTGAAAAAGGTTGACTACTGCTACTACCGCTACTGGATGTTGGTTGGTTTCTATCCTAGACACCGTGATGTACGTACATAAGAAGGCCATCGTCACTTGTAATTAGAAAAAAAACACCATGCATGTTCGGTCGGGTGTTATTGGACGGCCACTTGGAAACGGCTCGACAAAGAATCACGTAGTTAAGGCTGACCCCCCCCCCACACTTCTTGATTTTGTCTTGCTTTCATCGTTTTTTGTTTGAGTTGTCGTCTTTTTATTCTCGTGTGTTTATATGTATATATTTAAACGGTTGTTTAAACACCGCGTCGAGTGCGCGAGCGCGCGCGCCCGTATTTACGCACGCACGTGCGCGCGTGTGTGTCCGTGCGTGTCCCGTACGCGTTTGTGAATCCTGTGAAGTGTTTAACAAGCGAACGCACCTTATAAAATACACGTCTATCGATGACAAAACGACACTAAACAGTAACTGCGTGGTCACATTCAATTCTACAACGGGAGGATGGTTTGCGCGTGTGGTGTGTGTGTGTGTTTAAACGTACGCGAGTGTGTGCAACTTCAGCTCAAAGGTGAGCGCTACGAATGCGCGCGATTTAAAGTTTGTAAAAACGAGTGCGTTGTTTGAAAAGCGCGATAATTGGAATCTAACCCGGTCTGGAGCGGTCGCGACAGTGCTAGAGTCGCGACCAATATCCCGTGACCGTGCGTCAATACCCACGCAGCTACTGGATAATGCCCCGTCACATCGGCTGAAAAAAAAAACCTACTCCTGATGCAATGTAGCGCAAACATTTATATCGTTAATAAGCATCTAACTTTCATAGTAATCATGAAAACAGCATCTTCTGCGTGAAACACCAAAACTGCCGTTCAAGACTCCCCCCCGAACGAAACTCTCGGATTCAGCTCAAGTTTACGAAAAATGCATTCTTCTGTTTAAAACGAGGCGAGTATGCACCATTGATGGCACCATGACATCATTATATTTCGTCGCGAGACGCACGAACGGTGAATCTGCTCCGTTTCTGATGACTCAAACTGCTCTTCCGCTGGGTTTTTTTCGACGAGTATTTTGTTTTTATATATTAAAAAAATTGAGTTTGTTTTTCACGTGCGACTTAAGTTTTGCACCAAAAGGTAAAAGCGAAATGGACGCGTATATCTATCTATCTATCCGGTGAGTGTGTTTTGTCTTTTTTTCCCCCACCCCCCGTCCCCTGCATGCACAAACGAAAAAAACAGCGGTCACACGTCTACACGAGCGACAGCTGATCCCTTCGATGCGTAATCGGATTCTACTGAAGAAGAATGCACTTTGTGGCGACGTCCACGACTCTCGTCGGGACGTTACCACCACTTGACGTGATCACGAGGAGGAGGAGGAGAACAAAAAAAAAACAACAGCGTTAATAAGTAAAAATGGGAATAGGCGACTGGCCAGGCGACACAACAACAACCTGAATTCTATTCATCACAGCACCATCACACTAGTGAATTACAACTCTGTTAGAAAACGGTTCGCGGTTGGGAGCACAGCAGGTCATCGTGGCCGTGCAGTTCTTCATGGGAAGAAATAATGAACAAAAAAAAACCTTTCGCTTTACATCCGAAATCGCAGGGATTCATTTCAAGGGGTTAGCGGACCTGGAGAAAAACACTTCCTGCATCCCCGGCACACCGCGCCAGTGGGTATCTCTCGCTGCCGATGGCTGTGGATGCGGCTGGTCGTGCGTGCGCCCTAACCTCCCGTCTGCCGGTGGGCCAGGAAAATATTCGGTGAGAGATGAAGGCCCTTGTGTTAGGACCGTGTCACCACTACCCCCTCCCACCCTCGTCTGCCGGTGGGCCAGGAAAATATTCGGTGAGAGATGAAGGCCCTTGTGTTAGGACCGTGTCACCACTACCCCCTCCCACCCTGGTTTTAATTGTTGGTAAATTTTATTCATTTTATTTATTTTAGTTTGGACTCGTATAAGACGTATGAGATAGCTCGGAGGAGCGTGAGAGTGGTTTTGAAACAAGAGACACACGCGCGGGCGCAGTCCAGAACCCCAAGGACACAATTTACATATCTGCGGAGAACACACTGGGTAGATAATTACCCGAAGATGCATTATGGGTATCCTTCCAGCAAATTAAATTTGTTAATTTTAAGCAAAAACATTGGGCAACTCATTATTCTTAAAATTGTAATAATAATAACAACTACAATGGTGCTAATGTTACTATTATTACAATTGACAATTTGTTCATTCATTTTAAGCATCGTACAAATTCCTCACTACGTGTTCACGATCAACAGATCACGCTTCACTCACCACAGACGTCAGCACACGGACGCACGCGCGCACACGCGCACGCGTAGCCCGGTGTGCGGTGGCGTCCGCCTGCGTGTTCGCAAATCAGCGGTCAGGGGGCGAATAACGCCCGGCAAATGTTGTGTCACACTCACGTGCGGGCGGCTGCTTGGCTTTTAGGTCATGTGACAGGGGGTCCCGGGGTGGCCCCCCCCCCCCACCCCACCCACCCACCCCCCCCACGGGGTCATTTTCACCTCCGGATTCCCTGGTCGGTGTCTTGCAAGGCCAGAAACTCACTGCCTCCCAACCGCTCGCTCCACAAGAAAAGCAATGAAGTCCGTCTAACGCTGCTGCTGCTGCTGCTGCCGCTGCCGCCGCCGCCGCCGCCGCTGCTGCTGCAACACAAATGTCCGCTGAGGCGACCTGTTCGCACTTTAATCATGCAAGTCTCCAGTTAGTTCCGGATGAGTTCATCTGTACGGTATGTGCGTGCGTGTATGGTGCGGCGGGCGGCAGCGCGTGCGTGCGTGCGTGACTGCGCGTTCGTGTTTTGACGTGTCCGTGCGTCGGTCCATTTGTTCAAGTTCTCTTTAAGTCGTTGCTGTTGATGCGGTTGTTGTTGTCTTTTTTTTTCTTTTTAAAAATGTTTTGCTCGTTTTTTTTAGTTTTTCCTGGTTTCCGTTGTTGACTTTCTCCTACCCCCATCGATCGAGAATTTGGCGGGAAAAATCGAGGCGTTGCTTTTAGCTGTTTTTATTTTGCCTTCGGTCAGAAGCTTGGGAAGTGGTCTGGCGGAGTGCTGCTTGAATGGTGAGGATGGAAAGCTCCGCTTTTCATCCCAAGTACCATGGCTGCTCTCACGACAAAAACAACAACAACAACAACAACAAAAGTTCAGAGAGATAAACAACAACAAAATATTTGCATAGCAGCACAAAATCATCATCGTCACTGTCGTTGTCGTCGTCGTCATAATCATTGTCAGTAGCTGCAGAATCATCAGAAACAGCAGTGGGATTTTAATGATGGTGTCCTCATTGTCTTAAGACATTGTGGCAATCATGATGATAATAAGCAGGAGCAGTACAACAATAACTGGACTATCTTCGTTCACATCTAACCATCATCAGCAGCAGCAGGGCACTCGATTGTTAACTCGTGCGATTGTGAAATCATTCAATCTGCCAAACATCGGTCAAACACTCAACCAAACAAGCAACAGACTCACTCACAAGTAAAAAATCATCTTCATCCATCGTCGTCGTCATAGTCATCATCATGCTACCATTGAAGTAAATACACGAAGAGGAAAACATCAAAATAATTAGGGGGGGGGGCAGCCTTTCCGGTTATGAAGACGTTTGCCATTTATATGCCCCTGATAAATATTTCTCTAAGTCCACGATGTTGTTGACGATTGCCCGTTTGCATTAAAATTAAAAAAAGTTTTGCGACTGCTACTACCTCTACTGGATGTTGGTTGGGTTCTATCCTACGCACCGTGATGTACGTACATAAGAAGGCCATCGTCACTTGTAATTATTAAAAAAAAAAACACCGTGCATGTTCGGTCGGGTGTCATCGGACGGCCACTCGGAAACGTCTCGACAAAATATCACGTAGCTAAGGCTGACCCATCCCTTCTTGATGTTGTCTTGCTCTCATCGTTTTTCTTGAGAGTTGGCGTCTTTTTTTAATCATTTAAATCCACACATTTAGGGACGTAAATTTCCAGCATGCGCCATACCAGACGTCCCCATCCTGAATTGTGTTGGGGGCTTCGTCGTTAGACTGTGCTTGTGCACCACTGGCAAAGCAGAAGTAGCAGCAGCAGCATCGCCAAAAACTTGTGGTTAGATTTAAACCATTTGAACTTTTTCTTTTTTACTAAGGAAGGCCCAGTTAGCTACGTAGCTTTTTTTTCAGAAGCGACCTGGCCACAAATGATAGCTCAACAAAGTGGCTTATCGTCACGTGGAAATGTATAGCAGCCAAATACTCTAAACGCCTGACGTTGATTTTAAATGTGGAGGTTAAAAACCAGAGGACCCGGTGAAAAAATCCATTCGACCACGGGGAGAGAGACATGCAAACTCCAAATATACAGGCGTCAGGGTAGGGGATCGAACCCACGACCTCCTGTATACCAGGCGAGGTAGTTAGCATCTCGCTACGAAGGCGCTCCTTAAGTGACGTCTACACGTATTTCACACCTAACACTTAGACGTAACTAATCACCGATGCTTATTAGCCCAGTGTTAAAAATGTTATCGCCCTTCAAACATAATCTGAGTTACTTACCAACGTGAGCAGCTGAGGAGACTATAATGGCCTAGTGTTCAACACGGTGTGATTTTGGTTTCTATTACATAAATGTTAATTTTTATTTTTCGTCAAAGCTTTTCCACAGCACCCCAAATTCTGGCTTACCCGAGTCCAGCTCAGAGATGTGCTCCTATACTTAAAATAGTTGAAAGCTGTTGCATGTTAACACTGGACAACATGTGTGGGCTTTTATTCATATGGCTGATAATTCATTTCTACCGATTAACGCCTCACCCCGTCTACACCACGTCAACAAAAAACTTTAACAGAATAATTTTGACGTGTGTGTGTGTGTGCGTGCGCGTGTTTTGGGGGGGGGGGGGGGGGTGGGCGGTAGTGTAGCAGTTAGCGCACTGCACTACCAACCTGCCTACCCAAGTTCGATTCCCGCTCATGGTTAACACCAGTAACGATTAATCTGTACCAGGTCCTGGGCCTCCCCTAGGTCTAGTCAGCCTGAAATTAGTACCTGGCGCGGTGTGTAGTAAACATCGCTACTGGGGAGACAAAGGCGGCCGAGTGTGGTGTTGGCCACCCACCCCCTCGTTATGCCGTGCCGGCCTTCACAGGTGCTCGCTAACAGCACTTGCTCCTACAGTCTGTTCAGGCTATAGGGGGGATCTTTGTCTTTGTCTGGTGGGCAATCCGCCCGGCGGGCAGGCTGACAGGCGAGCGAGTGGGTCGGTGGGCCGACCCTGCTGGTGGGAAGTTGGGTGGTGTGCAGGTTGCCAGGTGGGTTACACAAACACACCGGAGGAGCCCGTGGCTGGAGTTCATAGGACACCAATCCCATTGGCTGGGGAAAGCGAACTGATTATCGGGGCGAAAAGCCTGGATAATTAATGTCTGTTACTAACCGTAATGTTTTGTCCACGAGATGGCACCATCTTCCCTGTAGCCCTGAGTTGCTGTGTTGGACTGCTGCACAGCAACTGAATTGATATTGAAAACTATGTTTTAGGGCAAAGGTCACATTACAGTTGAAGGCATGCACATCTACAAAACACAGGCGGCGGTTTTCAAACGTTCTAAATAATGAGTAAAGAAAATATAAAACGGGGTTAATTAAATTTCAGAAATATGCCACCGTAAAAATAAAATAAAACTCATCGTATTTGTCCGTGATACTGCCTCACAACAGAAGGAATATATGTTATAGGCTATAACACTTGCAAGCCCCATGACTAAATTCGCATGGAATTGCACCCAGATCTAGGAAGCTAAGCAAAGTCGACCCCGCATTGTGCTTGGATGGGCTACCGCCATGAATAACAGATGTTATAGACTGCGTGGCTACAATGTGGGCAATGCAACAACTTTCATTGCTGTACTGTACTTATATGCGTCAACGTCTGTGCTCTCTGACTTCAAAGCCACACAGACGAGAATGTCGAAGTATGGTATAGTCAAATAAGCCCAATGACCAGAATGGTGTGGTGAGTCGCCCATCTAGCAGTGGGTTTAAAGAGGGCTGTCCAGGTACAACAAAATAAAAGCCCTTCTTCCATGAACATTACTTCCAATTTCCCATTAGTGTTCTAGGCACAACGTGTTGAAAACGTGATCTCTCTCTGTAAGTCGGCCAATATCTGAGCCTGAATGAGGGCCATTGCTTGAAACGTCAGATAAAAATGTGTTTCCTCTTGATGTAAGGCAGCGTTATAGAAAAACATGGCGAATTTTCCTTTCAAGTTGCATTGGTACACCCATTGCCAATGCAATAGCCTGAATTTGTTTCATTTGAATAGATTTAGTAATCTATCATCGATGCATCGGAAATAAACAAAAAGTATTAAAAAAACCCAATAATGAAAAATCTTCAGATTTAGTTTTTGTTCGTTGCACTAATAACTGCTTTTGAAATATCGGTCGAAAACAGTGGCTCAAATGCCTGTTTTCTAAAACATTCGGATGAAACTTTTTTTTGTCCGTCCCCCGCCCCCCCTTCTGCACCCGCTAATTATACCCTAAAATTTACGACGCTCGGGCATATGGGATGTCTGCTGTACGGTCTGCACCACCGCATTGCATTCGCCAATAATAGCTAATAGATGAATAACCTGGGCATTCAACATTTACCTGTCAACAATGGAAACTGCAGATGGTCAACGCAGAAGGTTAAGGGGCTGTTTGGCTTAAGGAGAGCTGTGAAAACATTCTCCCCGGCGCAAATGAATCGTTTTCTGCGACAAATGGAAAATCCGCTTGCGTGCCCACGACTCCGTTTGCCCACGGATAGCAGCCAAGTGCGTGACTGCATTAATATTATTATCATTCCAATTACCGAAAATGTATTCACATTTAAAATGGTCGCAGCCCCCCTTTAAACGGAACAAAAAAAAAGGGGGGTCGTATTTTTTTTGTGCGTGCGACGTGAGAAAAAAAACGCAAGCCGGTTTTTTTAATGGCTAAAATATATAATAGGGTGGCATATAGTTGAAATTGTGTCCACGTGATGTTCAAATTCGAATAGGTTGATAGAATCAGCCATATGAAGGGAAGCCCACACAAGGTACATTGTGTGTTTTAGCGTAATGCACATGAAACAAGCCGTATGGCTTTCTCCCCTGCCACGCTAACAGGACAAGCCCAGAGCTCGCAACAGCAACAACAACAACACAACAAACAACACAGAGACCACAGCACGGTGCATAATGGATCGTGGTACCAAATGGGCACAATCGATGGGACGCTGACACATCGCTGAAAATTAATCTGAGCGAATAAATAAAAATATAAACACACACACACACACACAGGCTCTGAGAACAGTTGTGAGAAAATAATAATAATAATATGACGATAAGCCTCCTCTCTCCCTGAGAGATGGTGTGCGTGTGTGCCGTTTGCGGCGTTAAAAGCCAGATGCCTGAGGACATGCGTCTGGTCACCTGCTCACCGACCATACCCGCAATTCCCACAGCCTCCCCCGCACCATCCCTCTGCGCTTTTCCCGACGAACGCTCACGGGCATACGTGGGCCCAGCTCTCCTCCGACCCGCAACCACCGCGCCACATGCACCCCATAACACCCCACCCGCCTGCTCAACTTGCATGGTCGCTCTCCTTCTCTCCCTCCCGTCTACCCTCCCTCTCCTCCCCTTCTTCCTCTCCTAGCCAGTGCACCCTCCCCCTCCACTACCCCCCCCCCCGCCCCCCACCGTAGAAACCATCCCTGTCTCGTCCCGTCCTGCTCCGCTTTGAGCGCAGTGTCCCAGAGCCATGTGAGCTGTGCATCTGTTAGGCTGGCGCGAGCCCACCTCAATTCCGTGTGCACACTCACGAGAGAGAGAGTGTGTGTGTGAGTGTGTGTGTAGGGGGTGGTGAGACGGGGAGGGGGAGAGAGAGAGAGGAGAGAGCTGGAGAGAGCTAGAGAGACACAGAGCAAGAGAGCGAGCATGAGCTGTGTATGTACGGTGAACTTCTTTCGCACCGTACGCAGTCAACCGCGCCCCTTCGGAGGTGCGTGGATATTGGAGGTTGAGTCAGAAATATGGAAAATGTGGAGAACGCTGCAAGGACAAAACTTGCGGCGGGAATGGCAGGAGACACGGAGGGCACGGCGAGGTTGGAAGGACAAAAGCCCGAGAAAGGAAGAGCAGAAGGCAGATGAAGGCGGAGTGGTTCAGAGGCGGTGAGAGATATGGAGACGACAAACATAGATAGAGCAGGCAAGCGTGGACGGATGGAGAGCGAGCGAGCGAGAGAGGGGTTGGGTTGGGAGAGAGAGTGAGAGAGAGAGTGTGAGAGAGGGAGAGAGAGCGCTGGGCGGATGGAGGAGAGGAGACAGGATGGTATGGGGTGGTTTAGATGGCAAGCATGGGGATAGCAAGTGGAATGCTGTATCGTACAGCTGTTCTATTTTGCGCGCCTTCTGTCGACTTGGCTGCATCATCACACTGACAGCTCCTTGTAAAGCCCCGATATTTATTTATTTGCCGCAGTTTTTTTTCTCCTCTCGCTGGTTCCCTTTCTACCTCTGCCACACACGCGCACACACGCAGACGCACGCAGACACACGCGCGCGCAGACACACGCACACACTCACGAACGCTCCCACATGCACATGCATACACACACGCACGCACGCACCCGCACGCACGCACGCTCCCACACACACAGGCACGCACACTCATGCACAAACACACGCTCATGCACGCACACAATCCGGCCACGACAAACCAAGTTGACAATAAGGAATGCGAAAATGTAACAGATTTACCATGCATGAAAAAAATATTTTAACACGCTTAAGGGATTTTTTTTTGTCTCTGTTGCTCCCTCCTTCGCATCATCTCCACCCTTGAAACCCGGAGACAACAGCACGGCATTCTTGTTTGATTAAAACAGCAAATGCTTTCGCGTATTTTCAGCCAGGAATGATAAATCAGGCTTCCGACGGCACATAATATCCCACCGAGTCTGTTCAAAAGGTTAGAGATGCAAAAAAATAATTCCCCAAAATTCTATTATTTTTTTTTACCGTCAGAAGCCAAACAAAATAGCGTTTTAAGGTTTAAAAAAAAAAAGAGGAGTGTGTTAAACTGTTCAGGATCCGTCTCGCTAAAAGAAACATCTTTACTAACAGCAGGTTTGGCTGTGTGTCTTTCGTGTGCCCACAACAGATTGCAGAGTCTCGGGGCTACAGATGGGCTGTGGGCGGTTTTTGGCGCGAAATAAATAAATAAGTGGGGTGCGTAGGGGCAGGGCGGGCGTAGAAGCAAGCAAATAAATAATCAAATTCCGAATATATATAAAAAAAAGAGGGCAATTTGGAAGCAAAGAGCCGCAGCTGTTACTGGATTTGTGTGTGTGTGTGTTTTTTGTTGCGCCCGTGTTGATTCCGTGGGTTGGTGACATCACCGAGTAAATAAAAAAACCCAAACCCCCCGCGCCCACACACTCGGTAAGGGGGCCCCCCCCCCCAACCCCCACCACCGCAGTGAGCTTCACCAAGATCACGTCGGAGTAATTGGGACGCGCGCATTTGTCGTTTTTTTGTTTGTTACGCTTTCCCAAGCCGAGGGTTCGGAAAGCGTTAATGCTTACTGCGAGGTATCCCCCCCCCCCGTCCGTCTGTCCCGACGGAGAGAGACAGAGAGACAGAGCGAGGCGCGGAAGAAGCCCTCGACAAAGGACGGTGTCGATGCGAACGAAATTTCAGTCCGTGAAATAAAAAAACGAGGAGGGCCGCTGTTGAAGGGGCGGGAAGAAGACTTTGGCCGAGAGGAAATCGGCCAAGACCGAGCAAAGAAATGATCGCGACGGAAAAGAAAGCTGCGAGATTATAAAAAAAAAAAACAGTGCTAAAAGCTGAGATTATACAAAAACACAAAAACCAGTGCTAAAAGATGAGATTATACAAAAAAAACAAAAACCAGTGATAAAAGCTGAGATTATACAAAAACACAAAAACCAGTGCTAAAAGATATCGGCGCCGGCCTCCTCGCTCTTCACCCACCACATCACTCGTGACGTCATCACTCGTGACGTCATCCCGTCGGGTGGCCATAAGAGTTTGCGAGCTGACGTGTTTGTTTGTGAGCACTGGGAGGGTGAACAAACCACAATAACGGCCCTTTGTTTAAACCCAACGCTTCACCATGCCGTGGCGGCTCGGCGGGGGGGAGGGGTTGACCATACTTCACCGTGCCGGTTTAGCGTGACTTGGCGAAGGGAGCATAGATGTGGCGACAGAGAGATAATAATTCCTGCGTGACCCCTCTGCTCCCCACCCTGTAGCCCACTCTCTCTCTCTGTACGCTCTTATTAATGACTCTCATGCTCTCTCGTTAATTCTCTGTCAAGAGATGGCCAATAATCGAGCCGCCGTGTCCCGTGAAATTACGCCGCTTTTTCTCGCTTCTCTCGGCGGTTCGAACGCCGTTATTTTTGTTGTTTTATAATTCTTCCGTAGGTTTTTTTTTATACA